TAAAAATAAAAATTAATATCAATTTTATTACATATCTTATTAAAATCATATATATATATTATTAGAGTTGAAAATTATATTTATTTTTATATTTTTATAAAATAATAAAAAAATCATAGAGATGAAACAACCCTTAATATATTAACACGACTTTCAACTTTAGGTCAGTGCCTAAGTGGTTGAGCCGTAAAGGGACTTTCCATTCACCAATCTTAATTCTACCAAACTTCTTGAGAAAAAGAGAAGGAAATGTACAGGAAGTGGACCTTTTCTTTTCTCAACTAAGCCAAACTCGAAGTTGGTGTACGTCATTATCTAATGGCATAGCTTGGTATATCCCACATCGTAGAGTAGAGGGTAATCACCTCTTTAACTACGCCTGCTTCCCCTCTCCAAGGATTTGTTTTCGTTAGGGGTTAACCTCCTCATGAAAGGCCTTTTTTTTTTTTTTTTTTTTTTTTTTTTTTTATTGTAAAGTACAATATGAAAAGCTTTTAAATTTTGTTAAAATTTTATTAGGTTACTGATTTTATCATATTTGGTAAGAAATTTATATAGATAAATTGTAAGAAAAGTTAATAGAGAAATTTCTTTAGTAAGTTTTATATAGAAAAAATTATAAGAAACTTAAAAAAAAAAGTTTACAAATTAAAAATTATATTAAAAAAATAAAAATTAAAAGGTCAAATTTATTTTTTATTATAATTTTAAAGTATATAAATATCAAAATATCTCTATAAAATCTTGAAGAGGATATTGTCCAAAAAATTAAACCAAATATCCCCTAATATATATTTTTTTAAGTTAAAAAAGTACAATTTTTAAGAAGAACTTTAATACAAATTAATTCTATGAGTTTAACAATCAAAGAAAGCCATATAAAATTCTTGTTAGTATCTTAAATACTTTAAGATACACAAGCATATAAAAATTTATAAAACTTGACTCAATATCTTCTTTGATAGATTAAACTTCACGCGCACGAAATAAGCCCACCAACTAAGCCATCGTCAATATGCATAATAAAACGTGTGTGATAGTTTTTTAAAAGTAATTAATTACCAACAAACTTTATTATATACCCAACAGAGTTAGAAATTAAATAGTTAAATTATAGAATATATATGTTAAACTCATGTATAAAAACAAATAACTCATGAGCAACATTCCTTAGATAATTAAAGTCTACTTTTGATACATGCTCAAGAATCATTAAAATGGTAACTCTTAGGAGTCCTTTCCCAGAGTTGCCCTTGCTCACTAAGGATCAAATATTGTTCAGATGAGAAAAAAATTGCAAACCATTTTGTATTTTATTTTTTTAACATCCTAAACCACTACTGGTTTTGTGTAACTCTATATCTTATTCATATTACTTGGATAAATTGACTTAAAATCTTTATGAAGCCCTCGACATTATTGAAAAAATTACTCATTTAATTTATTTCCTAATTGCAAAATTTGTCCTCATGGAAAAGGGGACCAAATAAAGCAAAAACAGACCATATAAGATCACATTTGTTGGACTTTTAATGCTGAGGGTTGATTTACATTTTAGAGGAGGATTTTTGTGACAAATTGTTTGACTCAAATCTACCTTTCTTTCTCTCAATCACAGTGATTCTCGCTATTTCTTCCGATTAATCTTGTTAACCTCTATCTCTTTTTTTCACTCATCAATTCTAGTGTTGGTTCTTCGATACCCATTATGTTGTGTGCTTGATTTTGTTAATTAGCTCTACTGTTTGGGATTATGGGTTCTCTGCAGATTGCATTAGGGTTTGGACATTCGCCGGTTTCCTTTTGTCTTTCTATCACATTCAATGTCCTTTTTGCTAATTCTTCTACTTCATTACAGGAGAATAGAGAAACAGTTGTGATCTGCTTGAATTAGTTTTCCTGATAAAAGCCTCCAGATCTTTAATTGCTCTCTTTCTCTGCATTAACATGACGGAAGCTTTGGATTTTATGTAATTTTAAACTCTATCTTTCTCTAGTTGGCTAATAGTTTGAATTTCTCCATAAAAGTACTATAGGATTTTGTTTTGTTGTTTATGATTATGACTTGAAAAATGATTGGTACACACTCAATTTAATATATTTTTTAATACACTTTTGGTTCAATTATTAAAAGTATAATGTAAATACAATCAATTTAGTCGATTCTTATATTTTCTTTGCATGATTGTATCTTTAAATTTGTCTGTCTTTAAATTTGTCTGTCTTTAATTTTAGACAAAAAATAGTAATTTTTTAATAAATATGTTATGCAGTATGTTGAATTGAATATGTACTAATCACTGTCCTTAAGACTTGTATCTTGTCTTTAAGAAAAAAAAAATTAAGAGATGAAAATAAAATAAAAAGGGTTCCTGTCTATTATTTATTTCTATAGCTATGAAAAATCATGTTATTCATGGGTGGTTATTGTGGTTGATTGGCCATGGGATGCTTGATTTACTTGCTTTGTTGTTTCATGATTTCATCCCGTGAATGAAAAAAAGAACAATTTAAATTTTCATATATTAAAATTTATGAATTCAACGTTTTCAAATATTTTTTTACTAATAAAATTTTTATTAATGTTGAAAACTGCTATAAAATTAGATGTTAATTTTGTAAAAGCTTGAGCAGATGATAGGTTGAAATTTTATAGTTATTAATGTGAAATTTTCACCTTGATGGTATAAATACTTAGATGA